TAGTCGTTAGGTGTATATTGAACTGAATCGAGTTTAATGTGCAACAATGTTGCGAGGAAACAAGACAAAAAAGCTGCACTGAGCAGCTTATAGGGAACCTTGAGCGAATATTGGTTTAAACAGTTTCTGTCTTGCACACAGCACCAGCTTGTTACGCGAGGCAACAAATAACATGAAAATGGCTCATCGCGTAATGACCACTTATGCACGACCACGTAAAAAATAAGAGCATAAACTATTTTCGATTCGGCATATTGTTTGCCATTGGTTCTTTGGCATTTCAAATTTTCTGTGTGCCACAAAATTGCCTGCTTGTTGTATGACGTCACGAAGCCGGAGAGAATCTTCTTCTAAATGTAATTCTAGTAGGCTAGCTGCCAATCACACAAGCAGCGGCTACATATAGCAGCTGGCGAGATGGATTATAAGTTTAATAAAATATTTCCACAAGCAGCAGTGCATAGTAGTTTGTGAGCGCATACATATCTGTGAGCTCATACTTGCTGAGAGACAGGGGAATAGCGAGAAATTAAGCAGCGCTGCATGTGTGTGCTTATTTGCTGTCCGAAATGTATTTTGAGCTGTAAAGGACAATTCAAGTTGAGTGAAAACCAACTAGCCCGATTCCTAACTAAGCCTCCATAGCGCGAAAAACCACGGTATTTAACCTTCTCCCTGGTCTGGTGGGTGAAGTTGTGGGCAAGCTTAAAAGCTGAGCTTCCTACAGAGCTCGAGTCCACTGCTTTATTCGTGGCTACTTTGCAAGCTGCCGCTATGACTCCAAGTTACTATTTATGCAAGGCCGATCAGGTTCATCATAGACTAAAGCGGAAATAATTTTTGGCCTTTCAGTACGAAAAAACTTAAATATCAGAAACGATTCATCACACTCATCGGCTCACAACAGCTTCGACAGAGAAGCAGTGATGGCATATCCTTTTCGAAGACAATTATTTTCCAGAAGCAGTAAATACTTTGACCGGTCTATACACAGTTTGCTCGTTCCCATCCGTAACTGCATCAACAAGTCACAGCAGAATAAAAGCATGAACAGGTGATGTAATATTATAGGACCCCTGTTCAAAGCTTGCCTGTTCGGCAATACTACCGGACAAGACACAAAAGCGTCACATTGGCGACCCGCACCACAAAGAGCTTACAAGAAAAATTATCACAGCTGAAATGTTGGCGAAAGTTCGCTCTATTGTAACACTGCCTTGTAACAATGTCATTCTTCCGTAAAAAAAAAATTCAGTGATCACTATTGTGACGGAAAACTTCACCTTACTTGTTAGTTTCCCCAGCATGCAGTCAAGAGTGATCATGGTGCACTGAAGAGAATAGGGGGGGGGGCCCTTGCCCCCCCCAGCTGATACGCCTATGTGCAACCGTGTCCATCTTTTCTATCTCCTCATTACATCCGTCGTTTTCTGTCGTTCGCCGTCCCTGCGCCTCGCTCTCTCCTTCCTCTCTCTATCTCTTTATCTTTTAATCCTATCCTTTCAATCCCTCCTTACCCCCATCCCTCATGAGCTACTGTTGAGGTGTCGCACTCTGATGCAGACAGTTACAGGGCTCACTTTTCTCTTCAAGAATCCCATAAGAAAGAAGCGCGATCTCCGACGACAGCGCAGCTCTGGCCAACTGGGCTCGCGCTACGCCATCTCCTGACGCTGACAAGAGCTCTCGCCAAGTGATGCCCCGTCCTCGCACTCCTGCGACCATGTCCATCTTTCCTATCTCCTCTTTACTTCCGTCGTTTTTTGTCATTCGCTGTCCCTGTGCCTCGCTCTTCCTCCCTCTCTCTATCTCTTTACCTTTTAATCCTATACTTTTAATCCCTCCTTTACCCACATTCCTCGTGAGCTACTGTTGAGGTGTCGCACTCTAATGCAGACAGTTACGGGGCTCACTTTTTCTCTTTAAGAATCACATAAGAGGTTCTCTTTGTCAGCAACATTTGGAAGCATAGCGTCGAGCGTCGTTGCCGGGCTCCTTCCATAACTTGTACGGCGTCATCTGCGTCGTTTCTTGGACGGCCATATTGTACGCGAAGGTCACGTACAGAAGGATTTTGTGATAAGATTAGTTTGCCGTTCCGGCGCCCGGGGGCGTCGATGTTGCAAGGAAATAAATACGGCGCACATGACCAGCCAGTCAGTGTGGAACCCGCCAACGTACGTGTGTGTGATTCGGTCCAGCGACCGGCATGGCCCAAGACTATCCGGTTATCACAAGTGGCGACGAGGTCGACTAACGAACCGGACGGGCACAGCACAATCACACGTCGTCATGCCTGTCGTTGGGAAGCTGGATTCGTTCGACCCACATCGGAGTGGGCGGAATACCGTGAGCGGGCCGAGCTGTACTTCATCGCGAACGACATCCCGAGCGACAAGCAGACAGCCGTATTTTTGACATGCTGCGGTCCAGAGACTTATTTTCTGCTACGAGGCCTCCTAGCACCAAGCAGGACTGACCGAAATTTTTACCACACTTGGCAAGCACTACGCCCCTCATGTATCAGAAGTAGTGGCAAGTTTCAAGTTTTTCTCAAGACACCGAAAAGAGGGGGAGACCGTAACTGACTACATTGCCTCGTTGAAGAAATTAGCCGAAGACTGTAATTTCGCAACATTTCGAGAGCGCATGTTGCGCGACCAGATAGTCAGCGTAATTAATGACGTAACCATGCAAACACAGCTGCTGGAAACGACGTGTTTAACCTTCGAAACTGCAAAGGACACCGTCGTAGCTATGGAGGCTGCGCGTAAAGATTCACGCACATTGAGCTGTCAGCAAGCACAGCTACTATCTCACGAAGCTCCGGAGCAAGCGAACGTTGTCACCTCGGGGAAAAATGATAGCTGTTGTTTCCGTTGCGGGGGAGGTCATTCTGCGTGTCGGTGTAAGCACGGCAGCACGATCTGTTACAACTGCCGCCAAAAAGGGCACCTTGCAAGAGTTTGCAGAGTTCAGCCGGGAAGTAGAAATTTCAACCGGAGCCAGTCTAGTCGCTTGAACAACCTGGGCGACTTGCCTGTCTCTCCTGAAGAGTCCGAAGTTTTCGACTTGTGGACGCTTCACACAGCTAGTTCGGAGCCAATGCGCATAGCGGTTGAAGTTAATGGCATAATGCTCGATATGGAGTTGGACACCGGCGCTAGTGTGTCGACCATTGATCATGGCAAGTTTGCCGAGCTTTTTCCGTCGGTGCCGTTGGAGCCATCGAGTGTGCAGCTGAGCAGTTTTTTCGGCGACATGAAACGCGTCCAGGGAAAGCTGGAAGCAATGGTCAAACTTGGCGACAAGGAGCGCCAGCTACCACTATTTGTTGTGGAAGGGGCGTGTCCTACGCTGTTTGGACAAAGCTGGATGAAGGCCTTCAATTTAGGCATCGCTCAGACGGAGGGAGTCAACGTCGTGAAGTCTACGGAAGACCTGGTAAGCCAATATCACGAAGTTTTTTCGGAGCAGCTTGGCACGTTTCACGGCGTTACAGCGTCTATATCCGTATAAAAGGGTGCGAAGCCACGTTGTGTCAAGGCACGTCCGATACCATTTGCTTTGCGCGATAGGGTTTTCGAAGAACTACAGAGGATGGAACGGGAAGGCGTTATCAAACCGGTGAAAACTTCTCAGTGGGCCGCGCCCATCGTTCCTGTATTGAAGCGCGACGGCCGGGTTCGGGTCTGCGGTGATTTTAAGACTACCATAAACCCGGTGATAGTCGAGTCCTACCCTATTCCTAGGATTGAGGAACTTTTTGCGCGACTTACAGGGGGCAAGAAGTTCACAAAGCTTAACTTGCAAGATGCCTACCAGCAGGTTCCACTCGATGAGGAGTGCCAAGAGCTAGTCACCATTAACACTCCGAAGGGGTTATACAAATTCATAAGGCTGCCGTTCGGGGTTTCATCAGCTCCGGCTATATTTCAGCGAGAGATGAAAAATCTGTTGCACGACCCTGACCATGTCGTAGTGTACTTTGATGATATTCTGGTCATAGGAACCAGTGACAAAGAGCATTGGGAAAATTTGAGCCGAGTGTTGGATCGCCTGAAGACCGCGGGACTGCGACTGAAGTTATCCAAATGCGAATTCATGAAACCAGAAGTCCAGTACTTGGGCCATATCATTAGTGCGGCTGGGCTGCATCCAAACCCGGCTAAGACTGAAGCAGTGCTGGAAGCCCCCGCACCCCGAACGGTCAAGGAACTTCAGAGTTACCTCGGGTTGGTTAATTTTTACAGGTTTTTGCCGAACCTTTCTGCCGTATTACAGCCGCTCAATAGTTTGTTGGCATCGGGAACACCATGGCGCTGGGAAACTGATGAAAAGCAGGCATTTCGGAGAAGCAAGGAGCCATTGGCCTCTGCTGCTATTTTGGCACACTTTGACCCAGGAAAGCCGACTGTGCTTGTCACTGATGCATCTCCCTTCGGGATTGGAGCAGTACTGGCGCAACGAGAGTCATCTGGAGAAGAGCGCCCCATTGGTTTTGCCTCCCGCAGCCTGACAACCGCGGAAAAAAACTACAGCCAATTAGATAAGGAGGCATTGAGCCTTGTATTTGGCGTTACAAAGTTCAGGCAGTACTTATGGGGCCGGCAATTCGAAGCTGTCACAGATCACAAACCGCTGCTCGCCCTGCTCGCAGCAGACAAATCAGTTCCCGAATCCTGTTCTCCGAGAGTGCTAAGGTGGGCCTTGCTGTTGTCGGGGTACAGTTACGACCTGAAGTATAGGCCGGGTTCACAAATTGCACATGCCGATGGGTTAAGCCGGCTACCTCTGCCAACTGCCGAATTTGTTGTTGACTGCTCTGCCGAAGTGTTAATGCTGGAAGGAGTATACCCAGGGGTGCTGTCGTCAAATGCTGTTGCGGCAGCTACCTCCAGAGACCCGGTGTGCTGTCACAAGTAAGAGCAGCGTTGTGGTCAGGCTGCCAGATAAACCTAGGGTCAGAGGGAAGACCCTACGAGACGCGCTTTCATGAGATGAGCGTGCAAGGGAACTGTCTATTGTGGGGCAACCGAGTCATTATACCAAAATCCTTGCAAAAGGAAGTACTCCAGCTGCTGCATGAGAGTCATCCAGGACTGTCCAAAATGAAGGCAGTTGCGCATAGCCATGTGTGGTGGCCTAGCCTGGATAACGATATAGCGATAACCATTCAAAGGTGCCGTATTTGCCAGGAGCATCAAAGAGTGTCACGACCAGTGGCTGTCATGCCCTGGCCGTTCCCGGAGAAACCGTGGTCACGGCTGCATGTGGACTATGCCGGTCCTTACAGGAACACCTATTTTTTTATCGCAGTCGATGCGTTTTCGAAGTGGATTGAAGTGTTCTCGGTCTCTACACCCTCGGCTGAAGCAACTATTCCCTGCATGCGCATTATGTTCGCAAACCAAGGCCTTCCACATGTGGTCGTGTCGGATAATGGGCCAGCATTTACCAGTGAGCTTTTTTCCACATTCCTCAAGAAAAACGGGGTGAGGCGAATGCTGGTGCCGCCGTATCATCCAGCGTCAAACGGTGCTGCAGAGCAGGCCATGCAGACTGTCAAAAACAAGTTGCGGAAGGCTGGCTTTGGAGATATTCGCACTCAAATTGCCCGCATGCTCCTGACATACAGGTCAACGCCTCACGAGGTCACGGGTTGCTGTCCGTCGGAGCTGTTGTTGGGGCGGAAGCTGAGGACTGCGTTGGACCTGCTACACTGAGACCTCAGGACCAAGGTGCTACAGAAGCAACTTAAGCAGAAAATCAGATGCGACCAAGGAACAAGACCCAGGGTTTTGGGCCACCCGGGTGACCAGGTGTTCACAAGGAACTTCCGTCCAGGACCTGCGTGGCTCCCTGCAGTCGTCACCGAACAACGCACTTCGTTCATGGATGTTCTACTGGAAGACGGACGAAGGTTAACTCGACATCTGGATCACATCCGCCAGGCCCCTGAGGAACTGAGTGCAGACAACCTAAAGTCAGGCAGCCCAGTATCTACCGGTCTTGCTCCAAGCTTGGACGTGGGTCAGACGCAGCTAACTGGTCTTGCTCCGGGCTTGGACGTAGGTCAGAGGCAGCTATCTCCGGATCGTCTTCACGACACAGAGTCTAGGCAAGATCCCAGGGAAGACGTGGCGAGGGAACCGGAACTTGCTGTCACAGCACCCAGTACTTCTGTCCTGCGTCGAAGTACCAGAATTCGACGACCAGTATCGCGCTACGCACCTTAAACATTGGTTTGCAACCATTAATAAAGGGGGGAGGGATGTGATAAGATTAGTTTGCCGTTCTGGTGCTCGGGGGCGTCGATGTTGCAAGGAAATAAATACGGCGCACATGACCAGCCAGTCAGTGTGGAACCCGCCAACGTACGTGTGTGTGATTCGGTCCAGCGACCGTCATGGCCCAGGACTATCCGGTTATCACAGATTTCATCCCACGTCTTGTGCTCGACGTCGACGCACATGGCCAGCATATTGGCGATGGTCTTATTAAGACGTTCGGTGAGATCATTGGTCTGTGGATGGTAGCCGGTGGTGACTTATCTGGCTGTACCGTAGGATCGCCCGAGTTAGGTTCGCCATAAACTAAAAAGACAAAAACACGCCCAAGTTGCCAGACCTCTTTTTGATGCTGTCCAATTCTGAGCGAAATCTCCCTAGCCCCTAGCCACGCGGCTCTACTAGGTGTTCTGTGGCTCTGCGCTCTACTAGTGCTACGCATGTTTCACAGTCGCTTTCAAAGCGGTGTGGCCTAAGTCAGATTACGTTACCCGTAACGTTCGTAATATTGGATTTGACCCACGGTGCCACGCAAAAGGCTGAATTTCATGGCCGAACAAGCGTGTAAAGGTTAACACTTGCCACTAATTTTAGAAAGCTGTCACTTTCTGTTGACTCGCGCGCAGTTATCAAGGCAGCAGCAGCTATTTAATGTTACGTACAAGCATACCCGTGCTTTCCATTTTCTGCTCATTTTCAGACCTTATCTTATAGTTTTAGCAGAGCCAGGGAACTCAGCTTTAGTATATTCCACAATACTTACCGAAAATCATAACTATTTCTCTGACAAATCTGAATGCTGCAATCGTGCTCCCTCACTACACGAATGAGCATAGCGGCTAAGCCGACTTGTGATGCCTTATGTGTAAAACGGCAGATGTGCTTTTACACGTTTTTACGCTGAAAGGGCGTTACATGGATGTCAATGCCGGATGTTTGATACATTGTTTGGACGTTTAATTTGGAGAAAAAGTGTGCTAAAACATGCAATTTACATATTCAGGTATACATTGCCTGGAACATTTTGAGCAAATATGACGGTAACATTCAAACTTTGGTTTCACAGCAAATCTTTATTACAGAATTTACACATTACATTATCATAACCTTGTACAAGATTAAAATTAGAACAAACTATAATATATTGTCACAAATAGTTCAGCTGGGTAACCGTGTCAATTTTTACTACAAAACAAATTTGAAACAACAGAAATGACAAACAAAAATATGCATTAAATATGAAAGTGCAATAGCAACACTTCAAAAAACAATATACAAAACAGAATAACAAAACAAGCAGCTGGGCCTCGTGGTCATGATTTATTTTGAAATAATTTGCGGAAAACAAAATAATGGTTGGAAAACTAAGAAGCGCATGGCACTGCCCGCATGAGTTTTTTTATTTTCTGTCTCATATTTCGCGCTATGCAAATCATTTCAAAATGAACAGAATACCAAATCCCATATCATGTATGTTCTGGAATTCTAGCTTTCACTGAATACATGTTGCAGCATAAAAGTTATGGTACATTATTGCATCGCAAAAACTTATGCAAAATGGAAAGCAGGAACATCGAAATTGATAATAGTGAAATATAAGTTGTCCTTTTTGTAAAGTTAATTAAACTTCAGATACAGGCACACGCATTACTGAGCATACAGTCTACATAAAACCCACAAATTGTGACTGAAGATCTCGAATGAGCGCCTCAAATGACAGTGTACATTTAATATTATAAAAGCAGACAAAGCCAGAAGAAAGAGCCGATTTGGAGACCTTTCTTGATTTTTTTTTCTTTTTCTTTCTCTGTGTTTTTTCTCCTTTTTTAACCCTATAATTCGTTTCTTTTTTCATTTTCATTTTTTCTATCTCTATCTTTGTCTTTGCTCTCTTCCCTTTTATTTTTCTCTTTCTTTTTTGTACTCTTTCTTGGACCTGTTTTTATCTATTTCTCTCTATATGTATCTTTTTTATTCTTTATTTCCTTTATCTCTCTCTGTTTTTCTCTTTCGTCCCATAGCTTTTTTATATTTTCTTTTCTCATCTTTTTTCTTTTTTTCTCTCTTGTTAATGAGTTCATTTTTGTTCATTGCATGAACCTGCTGTGCTCAGTCAAGTGTATTTGCCAAGTTTCTGTGATGCATACTCGCCAGACATGTTTGTTTGCATTAGACAGATTATGGCTGCTTTAAACAGTTTCCCTGTTTACATATTCAAAATCTACCCAGAAATATACACCATATCTCAAGCACAATGCACAAAAACACAGCATTGAGGTCAATGATAGAGAGCCCTTGGGAAGAAATTCGTACTTGGAGAAAAGTTGATGCAGACAAAAAATACATCACACAGAGGACATGACATGAGGCACTTGGTACACAAGAGATATATTGCAGTGCTTAGATCGCTGAAGATTCAGCAGAACACTGAGCAGCTTATTGTGCAGAGTACTTGGCGCATTCATGCTGAGCTAAAGCAAGTAATAAACTGGAAGCATCAAGGATGGCACTCATTACAAAACAGAGCAACATGACAAACATGCATTACACGAAACTTCAACATGCTTACTTTATCGAAGCAGACATATGCAATAGAAAGGTTGGTTACATGGCTCAAGGGCATAGAACAAAACCATTGCATAATCAGAAGCCCAAGAATACAGGCAATGATGCTCAATTTAGCCCTGAAAGAAACAGGTACAGATCGTCTGAATGAGCCTACAGCATGAAATGCACTTTTCCCAAGGCAGGCATGTTAAATAATTTTTAAAACTGCCAGGAAAACATTTATTCAGATGAGGTAAGTGGCTTTTGTACTGAAAATTCAAATGTAATATGAACAATACTTTCGTAATAATGAATAAAAAAATTGTCCATATGCCTAAATCCAGTAAAATGCCAAAACCAAATGCAGTGTCATTACTCTCACAAACGGTAGTGGAGCAAATTTGGTTGCCAGTTTATGTAGATAAAATTTATCCACAACTGTGACTTGTATGCATAATATTTCTTTTCAATGAAGTACAATTGCTATGTGCCACAATTATTATGCTCACTGACATCAAAGGAAAGCTATTTTGCATGGTATATATAGCTGCATCATGTTCATTCTGCATGCTTGAGGCCTGTGACCATGAGCAGCATAAACAAAGAGATCTTCAGTTGCGTGTCGACTACGCAACGTTTCCACAGGCAGAGAACAGAAAACATCCAGACCTCAAAGATAAGCTTGCCGACTAGCTTAAACAACTCTACACATCCAGCTCATCTAGGTAACAGCCCTGGAATATGGACACAATCGAGATGCATTCCGAAGCTAGCTTGAAGCCAAGAAAAACTAGATCATATAAGAAAATCAATTGCCAGAAGAACAACTTTTACATTCACGAAGGCTAATTGTACTTGTGTCTTTTTTTCCTGGTCATCAACATACACGCGTGTCAGTTTAATACTAAACAGCTGGTATCTTTCAATACAGGCACATTTTTATTAAAACCTGCGATAACTGAGTGCATGTTAGATTCAAGTAAATAAGTTCCATTTTTCTGTGTGTGCCTCTGACAGTACCAAATAAGTATAGAATGTAGGTTTGGTAGTAAAGTACTGAATATAATTGAGGCTTTTAATACAATTCGACAAGAGCTTATCTGGGGGACGTATAATCCAAAGTTACACTAGGCACATTTGTGAAACATGCGCTTAAAGCATACTGAACTTCAAGGTGGTACTACAACAGTGCGAAACCAAAATCACCTGGAGTGCTAACATATAAAATTAAATTGCTCGTATGTCACTAACAAGCACTCACTTCAAACTCCTGAATGCACTGTGAGACCAATTTGTTTCGTCGCAGTGCAGTTGTGTTGTATGGCGCAGCTGAACCCCACAAGCAATGGGCACTAAGCATAGTTTACAACTAAGGAGGTTCTATACTGTGTCATCTGGAGTGGAAGTGTGCCCCGATAAGTGAAGCCGGTCACCGCTATATTAGAAAAGGAAAGACTTGGAAGCAGATGACAAAGTGCACTTCTTAGCTTCACCCTAGCAGTGGTTTTTGGAGACTGTGACATGCTTTTGTAAAGCAGTTAAATATTTTACAAGGCCACGGTGACTTCATGCGTCGCTTATGGCTGCACAAATTGCATCAAGAAGACACCTGGGGTCACTTTTCACGTGTAAGTATTCTCGCTTCGTTCGCTGACGATCGCTTGTTTTATCGCGTATGCTGTTAAATTAGAAGCAATATGAAAGGTGTGCATGCGTGTAACACATGCGTATAAATGTATGGAAGGTAACTTGAAGCTTTAAATGCTCGCTGACACGACGTTGTCCATGAGTTTTAAATTAATGGACGAAGCACTTGTGGTCTATGGCTGGACATATCAAACATTGGAAGGAGTAGGGCAACTGAATGCCGTTTGAATTCCAACTTTTCT